CCCCACAATTCCCAGTATACAGGCCAGACCAATTCACAGTAATCTCGTGAGTGGGTTCTTTAACGTCCCCTGCCTAACCAAATTAACTAATTAATAGATGCAGGAGACGGGACCTACGGTTTATTCGTCCATATCCGAGAAGACACTAGAATGTCTATCCATTTCTTGATATTAAAGAAAGGTAGCGCATTCTCCTCAGTTATTTTAAGACCTTGAGTGTTGGTCCGGCCGGGGCTCGAGCCATCGACCTCCCGCACAACAGTCCAGCGCTCTAACCAAATGAGTTAACCGGGAGGCGGTGGATCTCAATTAATTAAAAATTAGTCGTGTTTCATAAAATGTTTTCACTCTTTTTTTAACAGGAAGTTGAAGATGGCCGTCAAAAAATTAATATTTTTATTTTTCATCACTAGAGTAGTCTTCAAAGGAGGCTTCATGCGACGCCTTTTCTCCAAATGAAGCAGGAATTTGTAATTGTTGCCAAAATAACACAGCCATCTTTAGGTCGAAGATAAATCTCCTTAAAAACTGTAGATAACAGGGAGAGAGCCACTACCCGGCACCAGAAAAAGACCCCAGAGACCATTAAAAGATGTAATAGTAAAAGCTCAGTGGTACAATTTACCTCGTGCGATCGTGAACTCTTTAAGAGCTGTTGAGCCAGTTTCCCTGTTTCCGTTACATTTAATTGAACTTTTTCCACCAGACGTTCTCTGAACTCGTTATTTGGCACAAGACCACTCGGACCCGGATCCGCCATATTGAGTGTTTAATGAGTAACTGCTGACAAGTAATCACTGCAGGCGACGCTTTTGACCGCGTAAGATCTGGACTTGAATATGGCGCGAGCTTTAAAATGTCTAAAATTTTTACAAGCAACTCACGATTGTTATCGATCAAAAGCGGTGTATTTAACAAATCGACACTGGTTTGGCGTGGTCTGTAGTCTTATTGGAAACGATATTCGTCGTCACAGTGGTCAAAATTTTGTGGTCTCACGAGGCACAGCCAACTGTAGTAAAAACAAAAAAACCTGGACTCTGAGGTTTCCAGGGCGCAGAGTAACCCATAGGCCTTCTACGCCTGAAAAAGGCCAACGCGACGTCTGCACAACGTCCATTTGCTTCGACAAGAGATCGACAGAAAGGAGAAGATCATTTTTATCACACTTGGCAGTAATGTCGTAATCTGATTGGCCAATTTGCCGTTGTCGAAAAGGGTACAGACAACGCTGTTCGCGTTAACATGTCACATAACGTGTCATGCACCGGAATGGCTCCATTTAACGTCGACATTGTGGTTAATAACAAATCGATAGTGGTGTAGCGTGGTCTGCACTCTTATCGACGAAGATATTCGTCATCACTGTGGTCAAAATGTTGTAGACTCACGAGACACAGCCTATATCAAATGGAGGGCAACGCAGACGAAATAAAACCAGACTAAACGCCCCAAAAGTGGCTCAGAAAATCTACACGAGACAAAGGAACAACCCCTTAAGCGAGGTGAGTTTGTTTTTATTCAAAAGTAGTTGGTAGCCGGTCAATTGGCCCGAAAGTCATGTCGCCCGAAGAAACATCAAACTAGGCAATCTTTATCACTCTAGTGGTATTCGTTTCCGACGACACCATGAAGATTTTGAATCCACATGGAACGATGAGATGGCCAGACCTGAAATTTTCTTTCTTGCGCAGGACCAACGTGGGCAGTCGCGAGCGGGGTCCATTTTACCCGCTTGGGTAGCAAATCAGAACACAGGATTCGCTTTATATTGCCACGGGCTCTGGAAGCGATATGACAGTAGCTCGTCAGTTTAAGTAAGAGAGTTATGCAAGCGAAGGTCGAGAAGTTTGCACTAGGGATAGCTCATGCTAGTTTAGCGCTCTTGTATTAAGTTTCAGTTCATAGGTTAAATAAAGTAATTTGGTTAAATCAACTAAGTTGAAATTGTAAATTGGCCACCATAAAGAGTAAAAAAGCTGACGTTTCGAGCGTTAGCCCTTCGTTTTGTTACCCCCACCGACGCAGCACCACAGTTTCTTCGGAAACTTACCCCCTTTATGAATTAAATAAACATTGATTATGTTGCGTATATGTGCACGATCCTTCGCAGTAAAGCACTATTTAAGCAATAGTGAAAATCAGACCTGAAAAAAATTCAGGCCTGTACGGGATTCGAACCACTGACCTCCGCGACACCAGTGCAGCGCTCCACCAATTGAGCCAACAAGCCAACCGGGAACAGGCCATCAAATTAATTCGACACAAACCCGTAGATGATAAATCAAACAACAAATATATATGAAATACATATATATGAACTGCGGTTATGAAACGTATATGTGCACGATCCTTCGCAGTAAAGCACTATTTAAGCAATAGTGAAAATCAGACCTGAAAAAAATTCAGGCCTGTACGGGATTCGAACCACTGACCTCTGCGATACTAGTGCAGCGCTCTACCAATTGAGCTAACAAGCCAACTGGGAGCAGGCCATCAAATTAATTCGACATAAACCCGTAGATGATAAATCAAACAACAAACATATGAAATACATATATATGAACTGCGGTTATGAAACGTATATGTGCACGATCCTTCGCAGTAAAGCAC